CTTCCCCTCCTGCGCTGTCCCTCCACCCTCCCAAGCATGATGTCCCTCTCCCAGGACCAGTCCTTCCTTACAGCATGTCCAAAGTATGTTAGATGGAGCCTCAGAATCCTTGCCTCCAAGGAGCTGCCCAGTTTAACCCTTTCCAGGAGGAATCTGTTTGTTTTCCTAGCAGTCCATGGTACCCTCAATACTCTTATCCAGCACCACAGCTCAAAGACACCATCAAGAAATTAGAAAGCAGCATTTGTATATCCATAAATGACACTAGTGCTGTTATATCAGGAGGTACACTCTTCTGCTTTGCACATCACTCTGTGTCAATGTACTGTATGAAGTAACCTGGGTTTGCTGTGATACTGAACTTTGTGCCATTGAGGTATCAAATACCACTGTTTTCCCACTGTGGACAGTGTTTGGTGGCGCTCCCAATTGTAAAACAGTTTTGGAAGCAGGAGTGACATCTACTTCCTAAACCACATGCCTCTGGAAACTCTGTGAACTTGAAGAAATGATGATAGTTATGTAAAGGCTTTACATCTATTGTTCATAGAGTCCAAATGAGTTGTGCTCGACCTGATGGCAGTCAACAACAACAACAATATCAATTTTAATTTCAACATTATTTATAATAGGAAAAAAAACAAATTAGATCTCTATCAAAAGATGAATGAACAAACAAAAGGTGCTATATTATATAATGAAATACTGCTGTGGTTTTAGCTGACCCTCCAACAGGTTTTCTGGAACAAATCACATGGAAAGAGATTCCACATCTTTTCTCCCACAGAGCCTCTGAAGAATTTGAACCTTGTGCCTTTGGGTTGGTAGCAAAACTTCCTATCACTAAGCCACCAGAGCTTCCCACCATAAAGACAGATAAAGTCTGAATGCATGCTACAATATAGATTAATGCTGAAAACATTATGCTGAGTAAAACTAACCATAAAAGGCCAAATGTTTTACAATCTCACTTGTATTAAATAAGAAGAGCTAAATGCCTAGAGCATAAAGTTTACTAGAATTTACAAAATTTATCAGGAATTAAAGCAGAGAGAGGAAAGATTAAATAATTTAAGACATTGGGTTTCTGTTATGGTGACAAAAAATTAGTAACATCTGCAGGTGAATATTGCCCAAAATAATTAATGCACCTTATCTTAATTTTTAATTTAATTTAATTTAATTTTTCTTAACCTTATTTTTGCCAATAACTTCAGCTTCTTCCATCACTACCATTGGTTCTGGATTATAGTCTACAACCTGAAATGGTTCTATACTGACCAATTCTTTATGGTGCAGTGACTGTGTATTCATTCCATCTTCTTTGGATACATCCTGCATCATTCAATGTTTTGTCCAAAGAATCCTTCAGTATTACAATTCAAGATTTGAATTTGTTCCTCACTTCTTTCAACTTCTGAATTGCTTGTTCATATCTTTGGTTTTCTAACTCCAGTTCTTTGAACAGTTTTTTGTGTTGTTTTTTTTTTTTTATTTTAGTAAAAGTTCACAAAGAACCGGCTTTCATTCATCCCTGCACATTTTTCCCTCCCTCATCCTTCTCCAATTACATGTGTAATGTTTGTCTGGTCAATGCTATTAATTGTCATATATAACTTATAATCATTCATTCTTTTTAGATTGTTCTTTGTTGCACCAACTCCAGTGCAGTGTTCACTATTCATTCTTTGTCTGCCTTTTCCACTCATCCTTGTAGTGATCCCATTATTAGAACAGTGAGTCTACACAGTATTTATCCTTTTGTAACTAAACTATTTCACTGAGTTTAATGTCTTTCAGATTCATCCATATAGTATAGTGTTTTACAAGTTCACTGTTTTACAATGATGCATATTATTCCACGGTGTGAGTGTACCACAGTTTCTCTATCCATTTAACTGTTGATGGACTTTTGGGCTACTTCCATCTCCCTACTATTGTGAATAATGCTGTAATAAACACAGATACTCATACATCTCTTTGTATCATAGCTCTGATTTCTTTTGGACATATTCCCAGTAGTGAGGTTACTGAGTGAAATGGTATTTCAATTTCCAACTTTTTGAGGAAACACCAGACTTCTTCACATAGTGGTTGTACCATTTTACATTCCTACCAGCAGTGTATGAAAGTTCCAGTATTTCCTTATCCTAACAGTTGTTGTTTGCTGCCTTGTTGAACTCAGCTATTGTTGCTAGATTGATATGGTATCTCATGGTTGTTTTGATTGGCAAATCTGAGGACTTGAAGAACTGCTACAGAATAACAAGAACTGCAGTCTTCAAGTTGGATTGTGTCTCACCATCAAGAAAACAAAGATCCTCACCACTGGACCAACAGGCAGATGGAGAAAAGTTTGAGGTTGTTAATAATTGCATATTGTTCAAATCTATAATCATCACTCTTGTCACCAGCAGTCTGGAAATCAAATTAGTTCACTGGAAAAATCTGCTACCAGGGCCATCTCTAGACTAATAAAGAGAATTGAGGTTGGTCTAGAGATTAAAGTTTGCAAGGCCATGACCTTCTCAGTTGCTTGTTATGCATCTGAGAGCCGGACAGTGAATAAGGATGACAGAAGAGTTGATACCTTTAAATTGTGGTGCTGGAGAAAAATATTGAACATAACAAGAACTGCCAAAAAACCAAACAGGTCTGTCCTGGAGAGGGTGAAACAGGGATTTTCCATGCAGGCAAGGATTTTTAAGCTCCATCTCACATATATTGAGCATGTTGCCAGAAGACACCAGTCTTTGGAGAAGAACATCATGCTTTGAAGGGTAAAGTGTCAGGACAGGAGAGGAAGACCCGGGATGAGATGGATTGACACAGTGACTGTGGAAATGGGGTCAAGTGTATCAGAGATGATGAGGCTGGCTTAGTTAGGATTGAGCAAGGCTCAGAGCCATTGTTCATAAAGTCTCTATGAGTCATAGTCAGCTAGCTGTCATATAACAATAACAACAATGGCTGGTGAACATTTTTCACGTATTTGTTGGCCATCTTACCTTCTTCTTTATTAGAGCTTTTATTCACCCCTTCTGCCCATTTTGTGATTGGGTTGTTTGTAATTTTCTTCTTTATGTACTGTGATATTCTATACATTTTAATTATGAGATGAACAGATATATGGGAAACCAAAGTTTATACCAATTTTTTAAATTTATTTTATTTCATTATTTTGTGTGTGTGTGTGCGCGCGCGTGTGTGTACCTTCAAATTAGATCTGACTGGTACAGGAGGAGATTGCCCCTCCTTCTCCAGCAGAGCATCTGATGGATTCGAACCATGTACCTCTGGGGTTGCACTGCAGGTTCTTACCACTAGGCCACCAGAGCTCACTTTTAGCAACTATTATATGAAAACCCTTGTTCAGGAATTGAAGGAATTACAGATTTATAAGTTAGGATTTCTCTTGTGGCAGATCATAGAAAATGAGCTGTTTGTTTCCTGCAGACAGGAGACAGCAAGGGGCCCGCTACAGAGGGAGGGTTACTTCCTGAGCTAGAGTTCACCCTGAGGCATCAAGGCAATCCTTAAGGG